AATGACTGGGACCGATGGATCTACCTCCAAAGGTCAGTCGCGGAACAGCTGTTTGTCTGGGAATACTGCAACCCAGAGCTCTCAGCAGATGAGGTGATGAAACTAGGAGACATACCAGTTGAGCCAACATATAGCGATCATCAATCGGGCGCCACCAAACCATCCGAAATGGATGCAAAAAACCTATCCGACTATACCGCTGACCACAATCAATGGGAGCGCAAAATCACAGAGTACAAAATCCTGCGCAAATCTCTAGCTAGGATAAGTGCAGAGATCTCTCGGACAATCGCACTACAGCACTACTTCCTGATTGAGGATCACAAGGATGCCTACAACAAACTCGTAGCGCTCAAACGTCAACTAGCACCAACCAGCTCCAATCGCCAAAGGATACTTATAGAGCAATACCGAGCTCTTTAGAAGAAACCACACAAGGATTTTGACGCATGGCTGAGCGAATGGCTACAAACTGTTGGGCAGTGCAGAAGAGCGAATCTTCCAGATGTCCAGGGTACCCGCGCGCAAACCGACTTCCTTCGTACGATTAAGCCTCTAGCACCAGAGTTCGCAGCCAACGCACTGCTCTATATTATAGAGAAAGAGGACTGTAATGATCTTGCAGCAATTCCAAGCCTGGAAGACTACATCTCTCAATACCGCACCTGGCACCGCACTATGAACCCTGTGGCAGCTTCTATAGGATCATTCGCTACCCTAGGCATTGCAGGGACAAACCAGAATCGGTCTAGGTTCAAACCTGGTGCGAAACCTCTCTGCATCTGCGGCAGCATCTATTGGTTTAACGAATGCAAATATTTGAACCCTACTACTCGTACAAAAGGATGGAAACCAGATCAATCTATCCAGCAGAAGGTCAATCAGGCCCGAAAAGACCCCAATATCAACTCAAAAGTGCTGGCTGCTCTAGAGAGGGACAAGCAGCGGCGAGAGAAGCAACAAAGACAGCAAAGCGCTCCAACACCCATCAATTTTGATGATGGCGAGCTCCCTAGCTCAACTCCGCAATCAAATGCTCTACAGCAGGTCTTCAGCACCTCTGTCGCTGTACCAAGCCTCATCAATCGTTGGATACTAGATCCTGGCTCAAACGCGCACATCTGCAACAACACCCAATACGGCTGGACCTATCGACGCGACGCAATGCCTGGAGAGATCGTATACGCTGGCCGCGAAGCTCTACCCATCACTAGCTAGGGAGACGTCCACCTAAAGGTCAATACACCTGCAGGACTCTCCACCATCAAGCTCACACATGTCGCATACGTCGAGGGCTTCTTTGCCAATGTACTAGGTCTCGCACGATGCAGATCCCTAGACATCCACTTTGACTCTGGTAGAGACGCGTTATACCAAGGATCCTCAGAAAACGTCGTCTGCAAACTCAAATACCAAAACGGACATTGGCTCATTGACGCAGAGGAGATGGAGCGAGCAGAGCTCTCCACCTTCAGCTCTCGGCTTCGAAGCTCCTCCCCCGAACTAGTCACCCTAGCCACTAAGCTCAAAAGGATCTATCATCGTCCATCGCGCGAGGAGCGACGCCCTATCATCGACATACCAGAAGTCGACGACGACACCGAGAACCTCTCTCTCAAGCATCAGCTCGCTCTCTCTCAGTCACTAGACGCACTAGCAGAGCTTGAAAAGCAGACTCATGAGAGCGACAAGAGCCCTACACCTGCTCAGCTTCCAACGCCACAGAGCTCCATACGAAGCTCCGAATCACCTGCACCTACGCATGGCTATAAGTCTCGTCCAGCACCTTCGCAATCAAACGAGGATGAAAGCTCTCAGCAGCTCGTACGCGAAACGACGGAAGCATTCAATACTAGGTCAGACGATGACCCTGCTACCTCTATACATGAGCCACCTATTACCTCTGTACACGATCCGCGATATATACCGGATCCTGACCAAAATAATGCACCAAAGGCACGATCTCTTAACATCAACAAATCAAACATTATCAGCGAAAACCGCACTACGCGCTTAAAGCAATGCAGCACCTACTTTGCAACCTTTGCTAGCTCCATTGTCAAGGAGCACCTGCATCGCGATCAACACCCACGTATGGCTGAATTTTAAGCAGCCATGCGCACAGAAATGGATAGCTACCTAGTCCAAGACTCCTTTATTAACAAGATCGCTACCAAATTTAATCTAGAGCAGAGCGGGAAACGACTACCTGACATACCTCTGCGCGAAACCCTAGAGCTCTCTACTGAGACCACTAACAATAGGAGGACCAAGCTCTATCAACAGCTAGTAGGCTCACTCGCCTACATAGCATCATTCACACGACCGGACATAGCGCATGCGCACTCAATACTAGCACGCCACCTCACCAATCCTGGTCAAAAGCACCTAGATGCAGCCCTGCATTGCTAGCGCTACCTACTCCGTACAAAACATCTCACAATAGGAACATTAAGAAACTCTTAAAACAGCGCATTCTATAAGCTTAATTATGCAGAGCCCCAGTTCCATGGTGCATAAGACGCTGCATTCACGGACGATCCAGCGACTCGTTGAAGCTCTTATGGACATCTATTCAAGCTCTTTGGTCTAGCGGTAGACTGGAAGACTAACCTTGCAACAAACTGTCACTAAATTAACTACAGAGGCAGAGCTCCTAGCTCTCTCGCAAGCCGGTACTGACATGGAGTGGTGGAAGCTGTTCTTCACACGACTTCAGCTCCTAATTAACAATACCCCTACTATCTGGTGCGACAATTAGCAGACAATTGGAATTGTCACAAAAGATCTATTAAAGCTCTAAACTAAGCGCAAGCATGTTAACATACACTAGAGCTAGTTACGACAAGAGATCTCTGCTAGTAGACTACATGTTAACTAGAAACCTACCGCTTAGATGCCTGTAGACAGTCTCACTAAATTGCTACTAAGATAAAAACATAAAGAGTTTGTACAACAATTAGGTTTAGAGGACATCTCTACTAACCTTTCTACAAGTAATTTATTATTAACTCTCTATGCACTGCACACATCTTTTTAACTATTTACTATACAAATTGCTTACAAATCTGTCTATCTTTTGTTTAGCTTTTATTCTGCCTATACATTTGCTTTATTTTAAGCTAGGGGGGTGTGTTTGTAGTAGTAACACTTAGATGTGTTATTACTATAGTTGCACAATAGTTAGATGTGTTGTTACATAATAATTATGCGTTAGCACTATAGTTGTATGCATCTTAGCACAGTCTGTTGCCACAACTTACCTACTTATTTCGCATATATATAGACTCCTGTAAAAGACTCCTCTAGTAATAAATATAATCTAGTTGCTTATGTCTTTAGTGCTCTTACATAGCTTTACATTATAACTTTTAGTAGAAAGTTAAAAAGTATAAGTAGCTTTAATTAAACTATAACTTAATTATATTAACTCCTACTGTTAGGTAAAGCAAATAAAAGTATATAATAAGTAAAACATAACTTATTAAGAAAGCCTAAGTTAAATTATACTACTTTTTAATAAAAATACTAGATATAACTAAGTAGTCTTTAGTTTATTACTTCTTTCTAGCTAATATTCTAAATGCTTAAAAACTTCTATTTTAGGCAAGTGTAGATTATGTCTACCTTACTACTAAAGGCCTTATTTTAACTATAAAGTTACTTTAACTATTTTAAGATACTATATTACTTTTATATTTCTAAACTTAAGCTTTATTTTTATATTTTTAGTATTAAGTTAGACTTTTTAATTTTTATACTTTAACTATAACTAACTTTTTTTAGCCTCTTTAAAGTATTATAGCTAGACTTATATATATATTCTAATCTTATATTATTTTTCTACTAGTCTCTAAAACCTAGTGTCTAGCTGCTAAGTTTTAATCTTAACATAGTTTTTTTTCTAGCAGATAAAGAAAGTTATCTAGTTTAAAATAATAAAGTATAGCAAAGTTAAGTAAGCTAAAAAAGTTATATATAGTCTTAATACTCTTTTAAGCTTTATTAAGCTATTAAACTAAAATGCTATTACACATACTAAAGCTAAAACTAGTAGCTCTTACACTAAGGTAAGTAATAAAAAAGTAATTAGTGTAAGTAAAAAATTTGCCTAAGTAAACAGCATCTTTTATACCCTCTTTAACCTCTACTCTAGCTTATAGATTAATGCTAGTAAACACTTTAAAATATTTACTAACTAATTAACCTACTTAACTACTTTTTTAAAGGCTAAGGTTTATGCTAATTTTATTTTTAATAAAGCCTATCTCTCTGCAACTGCTATAGGTTAGGCCTTATTTGTTTTAATTAGGCATTGCGCTAGATCTAACCCCCTTTTTGCTTCTCTTTTTAGCCTAGATTAGTAGACTTGACTATAGCGCCACCTATTACAGTATCTAATATATAGCTACAGATTGCTAGCTTTTTATAACCCTAACTTTCTTATTCTGTTTAGCGCGTTGCCTAAGCAAGCAGCAAATAACTAGAATCTGTTAAACAAAACCCCTAAAATCTGTCCCCTATCCTGTGCCTAGATTCTATTATAATAGTAAGTAAACTTTTAGGCTTTAACCTAAACTTGCCCCTACTAGTGTTTTTTTTGCAAAAATGTACAGATGTAGTAGTGTTTTACTGCAACTCTAACTGCGCAGTAGATTTTAATTTTCCTGCGCGCGCAGGCATCGCGCGCGCATTGCTGCACCAGCGCCCTGCCTGCAGACCTGACTACAATAACAACTATAACTAACAACATAGCTCTCTACTTCCTAGCTATGCTTATAGCATTAATTCTTTAGCGTAGTAACAGCGCTATTAATTTTATTATTTCTTTTACTAGAAAACACGCACAGGCTCTGCAGTTTACACCCTAGCAACAAGCCTATGCTTACAGACTACAATAATAAAACTACAACAACTATAATAATTACTAACATAATAAGTTTCTCTACCTTCTAGCTATGCCTAAGACATTAATACCTTAGCCTAGTAACTATATAGTAGATTTTAATTTTTCTTTGCAGCAACGCGCGCACAGACTCTGCAGTTCGCACAGCAGCTACTAGCCCTAGCTGTCAACTACAACTTCAACTACTACTACTACAACAGGTTTCCCTACTTCCTAGCTCTGCTTAGGGCATTAACGCTTTAGCCTAGCAACTGTTAATTGTAAGTTTTCCTTTATAAAGATGCGCGCACTAGCTCTGCCATTAGCGCAGCAGCTACTAGCTCTAACTGTCAACCACAACTTTAACTACCACTATCACTGTAACTACAACTACTACAACTACTACTACTAACGCAACAGGTTTCCCTACTTCCTAGCTCTACTTAGGGCATTAACGCTCTAGCCTAGCTACTGTGCAGTTAATTATAAGTTTTTCTTTACAGAATGCGCGCACTAGCTCTGCTATTAGCGCAGCAGCTACTAGCCTAGACTGTTAACTACAACTTTAACTACTACTATTACTACAACTATAACTACTACTACTACTAATGTAATAGGTTTCTCTACTTCTTAGTTGTGCTTAAGGCATTAACACTTTAGCCTAGTAACTATGTAGTTAATTGTAAGTTTTTCTTTATAAAAATGCGCGCACTAGCTCTGCTGTTAGCGCAGCAGCTACTAGCCCTAGCTATTAACTATAACTGCAACTACTACTATTACTACCACTTTCTAGCTGCGCTTAGAGCATTAATGCCCTAGCCTAGCAACTGCGCAATTAATTTAATTTTCCTTTATAAGAATACCTGCACAGGCTCTGCAGTTCCGCAGTAGACCACAACTACAACTACAACTACTGCTACCTTAATAGGTTTCTCTTCTTTCTAGCTATGCTTAAGGTTTTAACACTATAGCCTAGTAATTATGCATTTAATTTAGAGTTTTTCTTTCTAGGGACGTGCGCACAAGGTCTGCATTTCGCGTAGCAGCTACTAGCTATAGGTGTTAACTATAACAATATAACTACTACTATTACTGTAATTACAACTACTACTACTACTACTAACCTAATAGGTTTCCCTACTTCCTAGCTTTTCTTAGGGCATTAACACTTTAGCCTAGTAACTGTGTAGTTAATTATAAGTTTTCCTTTATAAAGATGCGCACATAGCTCTGCTGTTAGCGCAGCAGCTACTAGCCCTAACTATTAACTACAACTACAACTATTACCACTGCTACTACTAACGCAATAGGTTTCTCTACTTCCTAGCTATACTTAGGGCATTAATGCACTAGCCTAGTAACTGTGTAATTAATTTTAATTTTTCTTTATAAAGATATGCGCATAGTCTTTGCAGTTCTGCTGTAGGCCTTAACTACAATTACAACTACAACAACTACTACTACTACTACTACTACTAATGCACTAGGTTTCTCTGCTTTCTAGCTATGCTTAAGGTATTAATGCCCTAGCCTAGCAACTGTGCAGGGTGAAGCACTACTTGTACATGCTTGCTAGGGTCGCATACTACTGTTAGATATGCGCACCTACTGTTAAGACAGAAGAAACGCTAGGCAAAAGCTGCTACATAGTATAAGTAATAAGCTTAAATAGTATGTTGCTGTAAGTTGCAGTATGTTATAGCATTTTACAACAACTTACAGCATGTTACAGCTAGTCGCGCATAGGGCTAGTGCGCAAGGGACTTAGACTAGAAAAACAAAGCTAAGCAACACAAAAAGAGTAGACAAAAAGAAAAAATAAACATTTATTAATAAATATAATTAATTATTATCCTATATATTATATCTAAAACCTATTATTTATCTTAAGAAGCCTAGAAACAGTGCTTTAATCTATAGTTACTACTATGCCTAATAGTACTACTTATAGCAACGCTTTTACTATTATAAGAGTGCAAACTAGAGGCTAGCATGCTAGTTTAGTGTGCAACGTACTTACACGCTAGCACTGTCTAGCTAAACACGCAATACTTTGTGTTGTAGTGTTAAGCTAGCAAGCTAGAGGAGACAGCGCTTACAGTAGGCTTACAGCAGCAGTTGTTGTTGCTTGCAACAGGAGAGAAGGGCGTAGTGTACTGCCGCAGCAAGGAACAGTGTTAGAGGGTAGCAGAAGAGCTTAGATGCAAATACTATTACGCTAACATCCCTAATTGCGCTAAACAGGTAAAGTAGTGGCTTAGCTCTAGTAGGCTAATTATAGCTACGTCAGCGCTAAGGACAGGGGTTGATTACCCTAGGGTGGTGTATATACCACACGTGGGGATGCTGTGGAGCATGATTAACTTCGCGCAAGAGAGCGGGCGTAGAGGGCAAGCTAGAGAGGAGGTTAACTTAGTTATTATTATAAAGCATAGATCTATAAAACAAAAGATGCTTAAGCACAGCAATAACTTATATGTGTAGGCTGTAGGGTTGTTTTTAACAGGCCGCAGGTGCTAACAAGCGCTAATAAGCATGTACATAGACAGCAAAGCTGTAGCGTGCAACAACATTAAGTCTACTAGATGTAACTAGTGTAAAGAGAGAGTCTGCAAGTTTAAGCATTTATAGTAAAAGACAAGCACTAAGTAGCAACAAGTTTAAGAGATAATAGATAAGGTGCAGGCAGAATGCGCTATATGCTGGGTGCTAGACAACTTAGGGCGGGACAAGTGGTAGACGCACAAGATAATAAAGTGTACAGCACAGGTAAGTGTGCATAGGGTTAACATAGACTATTTTTAAAAAGGTATACACAACAACAGCATTAAAAACAGTTGTTAACGCTGCTCTATTAGTTAGAGGCATTGCGCTAC